CTCAACCGTTTTGGGCTTGACTTGGATATGTGGGTCCGCCTTAAGTTTTCTGAAAATTATATTAGTCAATTTCATATTAGTTATTATTCTACATTTAATTTTTTTGTTTCATACTACTTATTATTTTATAATTTTAATGCATATTTATGATTATTTTTTTCATTTTTATCTTTATTTTTAAGTTTATTTACTACACATATTAAATAAAACAATATATTAATTAAAAGCAAAATAAAAAATTTAATTATTTTCTTAATTTGTGTAAAAACCTCCAAAATAATATATTAATTTGGTTGTTTTCTTAAACTATTACAACCAAATTGAAAGGGAGAGAATATTCTTTGGAGAGACTTCTACACACACACAAAAAAGCTTGTATTTTTTTTAGGAAAATTAAGTGGTGGTGGTGGCCTGGTCGGTAATGAATACACCTTACATGCACATACAAATTTTCTTCTAGATGCTGATCAGTTTGGCCAAAAAGAAAAAAATATTGTCTAAACTATTGTAACAAATTTTCTTCTAGATGTAATATTTTAAGGTAAACAATGAATGTAAATTTTGTATGCATTCTGAATTATTAATAAATATTGGTGGTAATGGTATGTTATTAGTCGAAAGATCGATTTAATTTTTTTTGGCTGAATTCATATCATTCAACACAATTTTAATCATCATTAACTTTTAATAAACGTTTTTAGTCGCAAAAAACATATATTTTTGAGTTTCAAAAGATTAGTTTAGACTCAAGTCTAGAAGTCTTTTGGTTAACAAACAAAAATTGGTTTATCTGATAAATTCTTCCGTGTAAGAAAACATTAGATAGAGACTAATTTTTGTTACAATTTCAACCGTTTCGGTTTGTGAACTCCATGATCTTCGATCTAAACTCAATAGTTTAATTTGAATATAGTATTAATAAGAAAAGCGAAAATCAAATGTTATTTGTCAACGACGAAAGTTTCCTTAAGGTAGATAAGGGTAAGTCCACACGCTAATTGCAAACCTATACGAGCAAGTTTGTATATAATGTTGAGAAGAAAATTAATTTACACCGCAGGACCAGGCCAGTGTTTGTTGAAATTTATTTATGTATAAGATAAATCGAATGGAAATCAGTTTGAGTTCATCAACTTCCCATACGGTGACAAGTGTTCATGGGATAATAGGTTTTTTCTCGAAACTAATTATTAACGAGTGCATTGACAAATGCTTTCATATACTATATTAATTATGTTTTTCGATGTGTAATTTCTGTTATATTAGTATTTTTTTGTATATATTTCTCGGAGGAGGGGAGAGGTGTTCCTGCCAACCACTATTAATTGTCTTTTGTGGTAACCCTATGTGGCAAGTTCTCTATACCAAAATCCTTTGTGGTTACTCTTCGATTTTCTCTAACTCGGCAAAAGATTTTCCATTTATTGAAAGAGCCTCATGTGCTACTTTTCTGCGAGACGTAATTATCTAAGAGTGTCTTACAAATTCTCTAAGGTTCTAAAATCATCTTAGTGTTTAGAACGAGTTTTATGTAACTTTTCAACGATTTTGGAAAATAACCGTCTTATTCTTAGAACTAATTAAATATAACTAGCTAAGGTTTAAGCTTTAAGCTTGTCATCTGTCAAACTAGGAGTGGTGCATGTCCATTTGTGATGATTAATTAGCTTAATCAAAACTTGGTTACTAAGTTAAAAGATGGTATTTTGCATGTTTTCTTGTTGTAAACAAGCCACTTACGTATAACATTGTTTTGGAGATGAACAAAACCACGTTCATCTCATCTCTCTTTCTCATTTTCCTCCAAA